CATGATGCACTGCTCGTACTGGGACCACGACAGCAAACACAGCGCCTTGCACCCCAGGATAGACATCTGAGGAGGCGGGCGAGCCGCATCTCCGCGGCGGGGCCGCCCTGTAGCCCACCGCTCCTTCCCAGCCATAAGCTTCAGGCGTATAGTGTGTTTTTAAGAAAAGCTCGGAGGGCCTTTCCTGATCGTTTTCGTTTCCACGATGCCCAGCGCATGCAGTAATTTTCAGTGCCAGAAAGAGAGCACACACACACACACCCGCAACCCCGCAAACTCTGTGTGTCTGAAGCGAGACGGCTCCTCTCCAGGTGCAGGTGAAGGCAGCGTGACGTGCCGAGGACTTTTCCAACCTCCTCCTTTGCTGCAGCAGCTCGCCTTTTGGTTGTTGATCCTCCTCGCTGTCACTAGCTTTTAAGGGGTTAGAATGCAGAGTTTTACTCAATATTAATGCCCCTAGAACAAGCCCTAATAAAACTAAAGCTAAAGTCGCCTCCGGTTTTTTTTTAGTTGCTTTAAAAATACACTGGCGATACAACCCGGATCACGACTGTAGAAGACGTCCTTTGACTTGGCTATCCCGAACTTACTTTGCAGAAGCAGGGAGAGTTGGTTGTAAGTAATGATTTTAAGATCGAAACGTGGGTCTCAATTTCAGAGGAATTTGCTTTGCATTATGAGTTTAAACGGGGTTAAATTCCCGATGAAAGAAAAATAGAAAAAAATCATATTAGGGTAAACAAGAAGAGAATTACGAAATGATATGTTCCCGCTTCAGATGAGAGGTGTCGAATCAACAGCTTAATCTCCTGCTCAAAACAACTAAACCACCAAACTGTAAACCTCGTAAAAAGCCACGTTTGTTTATTCAGAAAATATATATTAAAATAGGTCTGGATTTCAGCTATCTAGAAAACAGACAGGGTGGCGATGGCTGTAAATCCTATTGAATCAGGTTGCTTTGGTTTAACTATTTGAGCCGTGTTTATACCCCAATGATTTCAATTGGATTTAAGCAGGACTAATTTTTGATTCAATTCACAATCCTTTTAGACAGATGTTTTAGAATTGAATCTAATGATTTACATGATTTCTCAGCTCTAAAAATGTAAAGCATGCCAAATTTATCAGGATTTATTTTCAAGAACTGTTTCTGAGAATGGCAAAGATTCTAAGCACATTTTTGTGAATGTAAATTTCATGAAACGCTGAGACTTTCATTCCATTGTCCTGCGGTTTTACAGGCGGTTTCAAGAGTTGTTTGTTTTCAGTTTCCTGGCTTCTCTACATGTCAATTTGGGCAGTTCGGTACTGTTTCAACAAGTTTAGGGATGTTTAAAGTTGAGAGGGGAACAGGCTTGCATTATAGGATTGCTAATCTGATTATGATAGATAATTACTGGAAATAACTCTTTGAAATCTATAAAGGTGGGGGGTTTAAAATCCCTGTATTTTGAACAGACTGGCTAATACAAATAATAGAAAGCACTAGTCTTTCACTTCGCCTATATTTTGGCATAGACATGTCCACTGTGACCCCAATGATGGAAGGGGGGGAGGGCAATGCACTTCTTCAAATCTTAATATCACTGTCCAAAATAGTACTTACTTGGGGGCTGTATTTTATCAGAAAAGCTCCTTCTTGAGGTGACTTGTAACCATGTTGATTTGAAATGGGAAGGAATTTTAAGAACAATTTTAAAACACTTATATATGTATATGTATTTTTTTAAAAAAAGAAAATAGTATTTTCTCAAGATAAAGTTTATACAATACTAAAATTATTTGGATAAAACAAAGCTATTCTGAATTATTATGAATAGTAGTAATAATGGAGACTATTTTTCCAATGGCGCTGTTATGCACACACACGCACCCCTATCCTAGCATTAACATGGATGTTGAAAGTAATTTTTATCTTTTTTTTTTTTTTTAACTGGAACAATTTTTCCTGTAAATCAATTTTCATGGGTGGCTATCGGCTTCCTCTTCTTTTGTGAAACAGCGTTTCACTCTTTGATCCTGAAAAAAAAGATGATCAGAAAATGTATTAATGGGGGGAAGGGGGAATCATAGCAGTTTGCTAAATATTTTTGTAAGCAAGCTATTTTGGTATTGTGCCATTCTGGGACCAATTTTTCTAGAATAACCTAGCACTTTTATTGTATAACCTAGCTTTGTATAGTCTCCAATAAAATGTTCTGTTTTCTCTTTTATGCTTGATTTTCTCTCATTCCACTATTTGTCAAATACTGCAGATCTTTAAAAATGTCATTTCTTTCTGAAAGTTACTCTGTAATTTGCTTCAAAGGCTGCTAACAACATATGGACTTGGGTAGAAAGTTTAGAATTTTACTTATATTATTTTCTATTTTCATGCCTGGAATTTGATAGTCTTTCAAAACAAAAAGATACATAAACCCCAGTTATAATAGTAGTAATAATAACAACTATAATCACCTGAAAATATTATAGAAATCACTCTGCCCGTCTGGTGATGTTATTTATATGTGGATTGATTGTGTTAAAGCAGATTTTAAATGGCTGGATCTAAAGCAGCTGTGTTTGAAATATCAATGGCATTTACTAATAATAGGTAAGTTTCTCTGAAATCAATCATTTTGTTTCCACGTCATTATTATTAGGCCAAGAATATTTATGGCATGGTTTTCTTAATTACATTTACTCAAAAATACATCTGATTTCAGTGAAGCTTTTAGTCTTTTGCTTGCAGTCCAGCAACTCCATTCTACCAAAATTTATGTGGAAGTATACCTCGCTGAAAGTAATGAAGTATTATTTCAAGGATACCTGGGAGGATCTAACTTCAGAAGAGTGTTGTCAGTGTCAGGCCTGAAAAAATAACTATCACTTCTAAGTTGTTACTAAGCCTGCAAAAAAGCAGTCCTTGCTTATGGAGATCTTTGCTTGCAGATTTGAGATGGATTTTTCTTTAATAGCGAGCATATGTTGGAGAGAGATATCTAGTGGCATTTTTATCATAGCATTATCTTTTCCTTTCTTTTCTTGTAATGCATGTACAGTTACAAAATCTTTTACCAATATCACAAAAGGTGTAGGCAATGTAGACCAGAGGTGCATAAAATATAAATGTGAAAAATTGCTGGTGATCATATTCTTTTTATTTCATAGAGGAAGACTATTTCAAGAAATACCTTCTTTACAAAAGTATTGTGCATTATACATATATAATATCAAGTGGCTGCTAAGGATATTTGCAGCCCTATCCTAAAGAAGCGTGTTTATTTAGAAGTAATTTCCAGTTTGTTCAGTCAGACTTATTTCCCAAACTGCTGCCTTATTTGGAGATAAATCATATAGGAATGGATTGAGTTTTTTACTTCCTCCTTAATTCTACATAAGAAGAGCCATATTTTCAGTTATTTCCATTTGATGATACAATGTAGATGATTCTTTTTTTTTTTTTTTGGCTGTAACTATGCCCCAAGTCTATCACATACTTTGCAACGGTGTTTGTGGGGGACACCTTGCAGTCTTTAATCTTATGTCTCTATAAGAGGCAACACGCTTTTTGACATTTATTTCTAGTATTAAAGTATCTCTTAACGGAGTAACTGGGCTGTCTGCAACATTTTCACCTGTGTTCTAGCTGTGCTTGCTAAACACTCTAAGACCTAATGTGGTTTATTTTGACCTTTATTATGTTTTATTAAATCATGATTTATTATTTACAGTGTTATGCAAACTCAGTCTTGGTTTCTTTTCAAGGAACAGGATCTCCAGGGGAATGAAGGCAGCGTTCACAAGACATTTAGCCAGTCATACTTTTGCCTAGTGTGTGGTGAGAATATAGTCTCAATGAGGGCCGGGGAGAGATTCCAAGTACAGGAGGCACCGGCGGTTGCTTTTTACCAGACAGAACAATTATTAATCTAATCTGGAAAGGCTGTAGACATTGTGTCCCTCTCTCTCCATCAGTTTAGTTGGTGGAGAACGCTGAAGGCCACGTCTCCGTTCATGCCAAAG